TAGTATTTATTGTATATAAAGAAGAGTTTGTTTGTACACGCATTTCTGTGATCTGTTGATATTTTGTGCACTTTACCTTCAAAACAATTGGAAGATCATTGTCTACACAAGTTTTCGGAACACTATTCCATGGAGATGATACTTAGGGCATTAACATTAGTACATTGCATTTATGTCACCCATCAAGGTCAATGCACCCATCAATGTCATACCATCAGGGGAAATTGTACATGCTCAACAAGAAATTTATAACTACTTTTTTTATAAAAAATAAATATTAATATTTCCATGCAGTTTCAATGCTGATGTCATGTTGCTAATGATGCATTCCTACTAACAGTTCTTATTAACCCTATTAGATAGCACCGTTTACTTAAACTTTAAAACAACGTAATATCTTTAAAGAATTTGATAATGCTCACTATATTGTGAATATGTTTTTTAAACGGTCAAAAGATTCACCAAACTGCATGGTGTTAACTGAAAGCTCATTTTCGAAAAAAATATGGGTCTAGTATAGAACTAATTGGGTGCCCATTTGATTAGCGATAATTTTTCTTCTAAATTTTGACAATGAAACCCCATTTCTGGTTATCATGATAGTTTTAACTTCCTGACTTTTTTTTAAAATGAAAATAGATTGATGTGTACAAGGACAAATTTAAGGCAGTGTGCAATTCTTCGACTTCAATTTGAATTAAAAAACCACAGGCTACTTGGTTTTTGGGGAAAAAAAAAACAGAAGCACTTCCGCAGAGAACCCCATCAATGTAAACATTGCCAACTTTGGCGATAATGATGCAAACCTGGTAACCTAGCTAATACATCATATTCATTGTGCATAGGTTGTCGTTGTTTGCATTTGGAGATTTATATTATTCTTCTCTTATTATTATTTTTTCTGAATTTTTTAACAACGAATAGATAGAAATATTTTCGCATAATTAAAGAAGTTTTCGTTGTAAGATTCCGGTTCTCGGCTCGTCAGTTCGGGATCAAAGGAAGAAAATATGGCGGGAGGGGTGAATGCTAATTTGTAACATAGCTGTTCATGTTACAGCAAGACCCCGCTTAACGCTGTTTCGTTTAGCGCTGTTTTATTTCAACCCGGGGATTCCACGAAATCGCTCGCAGCATACGGGGATTCTCCGAAATATTATGCAGCGATAGGTTTCAAATACATATCCGAAAGAGTGTACTTGTATTTCTTGTTTGGTGCGGTATTGTACAGACATATTTTGAAGGGGTAAATGTGGAAGATGTCGAAGAAATAATTCAAGAAGCAGCGGCTAGTCTTTCTAATGATGAGCTCAAGGAATTAACTGAACAAGAAGAAAACAAAAATGTTGACAGCAGTGATTCAGAAGAAGAGCAAAGAGAACTTTTGATGGCGTTTGTAAAAAGGAGTTTGTCTACCATAACTGAAATAATGGATCAATTCATTGAAAATGATCCGAATTTTGACAGGAGCTCAAAAGTAAGGCGTGGTGTTAGAGATGCTCTATCCGTTTATGAAGAACTTTTAAGAGAACAACGCAAACGAAAAAGGCAAACATTATTAGATGCTTTTGTCACAAAAAGGCAGAACACTGAAAACGCGGAAGGCTAACTAAATATGACCGACTTAGAATTTTTTTTTAAGAATATTTGTTTTGTTTTTTATATTTTGTTTTTATTTTTGCAAGAAATAATAATGTGGTATTAATTTGGGCTTTAAGAAATAAATGTTTGGTTTTATTTTTATTAAAAAAACATACTTTTAAATTTAATACCTAACCAATTTCCTAGCCATCTTCCCCTAACCCCAATATTTACATGTAAAGATAGCCTTGTTTAGCGCTGTTTCGCATTACGCTCTACTTTGATGGAACGTATCCCCCGCGTTAAGCGGGGTCTTACTGTATGTTCTTAATTATTAACATCTGTAAGCATGCAGAACCATGAGTTTTCCAAGCCCTATAATAATTTTAAAATGTATAAAGTTCTAGTTTTATCAACAATGCTACTAAAGAAAATTTGATTACTGTTGAAGGTTATTTGTATTGTGAAATATATTATGAAAAAGGACAGGTATTTGTTTCAACGTAAAATGCCTTAAGCTGTATGCAAGTAACTTAAAAAAAAAAAAAAAAAAAAAAAAAAAAATACTGAAAAGTATGTAAAATAGATATATTAAAGGTCATGCATTCATTAATTTATTACATGGGCTCTTACCGAAATACATCAATCAACAGGCAAAGTACTTAATAATGAAAAAAGACACTTGAAATATTAGTATTCTGGAAGCACTTCCGCAGAGAACCCGGTAAATGTAAACAATGCCAACTTTGGCAATAATAGTTCAAACCTGGTAACCCAGCAGATTTATCCTATTCGCTTGTTCGAAGTTAGCAACCATTCCTCTTGCGTTCATTTTGTTGAATTATCACTGTTGTTGTTCGCATTTGCAGATTTATATTATTCTTCTCTTATTTATTAATATTTTTTCTGAATTTTTAACAATGAATAGATAGAAATATTTTCGTAGATAGATGCCGGTTCTCCTCGGGGATGAAAGGAAGAAAATACGGCGGGAGGGGTGAATGCTAATTTGTAACAAGGCTGTTCATGTTGTGTTCTTAATTATTAACAGCTCTTAAGAACCATGAGGTTTCCAACCTCTAAAATAATTTGTTTCCGTATGCCACAAAAATGTGCATGTGCATTTTAAATAAATAAATAATGCTTTTATTTTTATTATTATTATTGTCATCTAAAATTATGAGAATAAATCAATTTTGATGGCGTAAAATTTTAACGAGATAATGTTAATGCTTTTTTAACAATAACCTTTCAGAGGATGGCAGGTGTGATAGATAAATAGATGATTAAATTAAAATCAAAAATATTATTGATTATCTAAGATGACAGAATAGTTTGATGCATCACCATGGTTATCAAAATTAGCAAACCACTGCTGGTGTAAGGAATATATTGTTTTCTGTGTTAACTGGAATTTAAGACAATTTTTTTTCGTTTATCGCGTTTAACCGGTTAATTTCAGTACATTAATACTAATTTATATTTTTAAATGAATATATCACTTTTAACCGATTAGTTTTACATGTACATGCTTATTATCTGTGAATTTTTACTACCACATGCTTAATATATTGTTTTGTCTGCTAACTTGAATTTACATGCACTAAAAATCACGTTAACAAAATATCACGTTTACGGCTCGGATCATCGTCGATGAACCGCGAGCTTGGCGAGTAAAAGTGCAACGGCGCTAACGGGTTCTCTGCGGATGAAAACCCAGTATTCTATACGAGTTAGAGAAAATACATATAAGTATAATGTAAACGTAAGTATAAGAATACTAATTTTTATTTTTTAAATGAATTTTTTCTTCCCGTTATGTTTAATACATTGTTTTCTGTGCTAACTTGAATTTAATACAAATTTATTTTCGTATATCACGTTTAACCTGTTAATTTTACATCTACATACTTATTATCTGTGAATTTTTACTACCATTGTCTGCTAACTTGAAGTTACGTCCACTAAAAACCACGTTTACGGCTCGGCTCATCAGCTTGTCGAGTAAAAATGCAACGGCGCCAACGGATTCTCTGCGGATGAAAACCCAAAAAACCTGCCACCAGTCTCCTAAATGAAGCCTGTTTGCATAAAGCACGGGCAATGCACCTACTTCAGCAAGTACAAGTACAGAAATGCTATGAAGAAGCAAATTTTAACAGCAAGTTTATTACCCGAGAGAAAAAATGTCAGTAAAAGTTTACAACTGGGCGCCCTTTGTTTTTATTCTAAGATCAACACCAGGGAGGCACAATTTCAAGATGCCCACTACACAAAACCAAAATAAGAAGTCAATGAATTGCACAAACTCAGTGTCCATGTACACATCGATCTATTTCCACTTAAACAAAATTGCACAAACTTGACATAGTGCACTTCTTTGACTTTGTCCATGTACACATCGATCTATTTACATTTAAAAAGAATTACCAAAAATCGCTTTTTAAATTATTATTAGAGAACTTACAGTTACTGGGATCAAGTATTTCCTCAGGTCGAAGGCATGAATTTAACTATTATGTAATTCTTTATCACTTCTACATGACAAAACTTCATTTTACACTTTCAAAATTTTTCCATGGATTAGGCAAATTATCAAGATAATGAAAGTAAAGATTTTAAATTCTTGAACAGCCTGAATAACAATAATAAAATTTAGCAGCAAAATAGGAGTAAAAGTTCCAAGTCACAAAGTCTAATATCTGCCTAAGTCTTTAAAATGATATGTAAATTCCTATAAAAAATGAACAACAATTTCAAAGAGTAAAAAAATTAGCTAAATGCAGCCCATAAACTTTAGAATCAGTAGATTTCTTAGAATATGACTATATTCAACAAGCACAGCCCATTTAAGTGAGTCTAACATCGACAGCATTTTTTTCCCTCTAGCAGACTTCAAAATTTCAGCTCCTGAAGAAACTTAAAACATATAAAATAGTATGTTTACCGAGTTAAAAGCAAATACTGTTATATATAGCTTATATATAACAGTATTTGCTTTTAAGTCAATAAATTTCAAACAAATTTTTTCTCCACAAACAGAATATTATGAAATTTGGGAAAAACATGTTTTGAGCAGTCTTGCCACACATTAAAACTAAGCAAATGAAAGTGATCTAAAAAAATCTGACCTTTTTATCCTCGTAAAATAATGAACAATTTTTAACCAAAAAAGTCTACAATACTGAAATTTGACTCTAAGCTATTTTATTTTTATCAGAAAACATGACAACTGATAGTGCAGATATCTTACCTAATGATAACATACCTAAAAACTAATTTTACCCCTTCTTAGAGATAAAACAATTTAATATGAAATCTTTCTGTCATATATTAGCAAATATTTCCTTGCAATATCAAATGAAAAATTTCACATACAGGAAAAAAAAAAAAAAAAAAAAAAAAAAAAAAAACAATACCTTGGCATGACCATGTTTGCCTGTCTTGGAAGTACTCATTTCCATGATTTTACATGGTCGAGCTTTTAACATAACAAACCCATTTTTACGAAGTGATGAGCATTGTACTGGGTAAGTTGCTGACGCTCCAGCATTGGCTGCAGTGTAATCTTCTTCACCTTCCATTATGTTGCTGGAAAAGAAATCTTTTATTTATGTAACAGCATCATTCAAATACAAAATTAAACTGCAATTACCCTTATATTTTCTGTGACAATACACAGAAAATAACCTTCCTATTTAAAGAGTGCACAATTAACAACTGTGTATTTTCACGCTTTAAAATAATTCTATAACACTGCACTTTCTGCTTGCATTTTTAAGTAGCATTAAAAAATTCCGAATAAATGTTTTGACCGCATGCCATTAATTACATTTACTTATTACCGCATGCCCTTATTACATGCATTTACAAATCTTTACAGAACATGAAAGTAACAAAAAACAATCTTTTACATAAGTACTTATTCTTTTATGTTTCTGATTAAAGTAAAACAATAGCCAGAATTCTCAGTCTTTAGTTTCGGAACTAGGTATTAAGCCTAAGTAGGACAATCTCTGTAAACGCGTCAATAAACTAAATTCATCCCCTTCGGTTATAAAATTGGACCTAATGTAACACTGTTATATTGCTACAAAGTATCAAGAATTATAACTACTTCGTTAAGTTCTATTACATATTTCAAGAACAGAATGACAGCAGAATGCCGAACTCGTGTTAAAATATAAGGCTTAGCTTATACTATTCAGACACAGCCATATTATATAATAAACGCCGGAGATGTAAAAAAGCCGAATATGAAGCTTTATGCTCATGAAAACAATTACAGTCAAAAGCTGTTACAGATAATATAATGATTATAACGAATTATACTTACAATAATTATTATAATTTTAATACTGACTTGCACCTACTCAAACTGCTAGCCTTCCTTACATGTGTTTCCACCTGGTGAGAGTTATACGAGACAGTTACGCAGACGTTGTGGACGTTGCACGGCTATTCTAAAATTCCTATGCTATTACTCCCAGTTTATAAATGGGCACATTTTCTATTATTTTTCTAAAATTTATTTATTTCTTATTTTGTAAAAAATACTAAAATAAAGTAAAAATTAAAATAACTATATTTTTACATTACTGTATCACAGCAAATATTTCCAACCAATAAGAAAATTCCTCTCTTAGTTGGATCAGCGAACTTTTTTTTTAATCTCAACCGGTGCGATGTGCCGTGAATGATCATCATTGTGAGAAAAAACGTGAGACGATACATTTCATAGTTAGCTGTTTATTGTGGGCGGTAGGGTTCTATTTACCTGAATTTACATCGTACCGTGGATGATGTCGGACACCAAAGAAGAACTATCCACATCGTCCCTGCCCGCCAACGCTTCAAAAAAAATACTCGGTAACTGATAATCAAGTATTTTTTAAGCGGTAGCCTTAGGCCTAATAAGTGAAGTCACATTGCGGTTGTTGATAGACATGTTTGCTTAACTTTAAGACAATTATATGTGTATTCGATAACTTCGTATTGATTTCGTTTCATGGTCTTTATACAACTGATGTTTGATTTAATCATAGTACATACTTACCAAATATCCAAGTGTCTACTCTTGATTTAAATCACCAGAATAAATGTGAAGATAGAACTAAATAAACATCTGTTAATTTGACCCAGTCTGTAATGCTAATTTTAGGATCAGAACATAGTTTAAATAAATATTTTCAGTTTCACTTTCTTTTTTTTTTTTTTTTTTTTTTTTTTTTTTTTTTATAATTATATGGTGTTACATGAAGCATACACATGCAATTTTTAATTAGTAATTTTAAAATGAATATTATTTCATAGGTGTAAAAGTTTTTAAAAAATAGTGCCTTCTTAATTAAATTTTCTCTGTATTAATTTTATGAATTGAGAGTGATGTTTTCGAATTAAAAAAATGATAAATGTGATTGTAATCGGTCTTTAGTTGTGTATATTAGCTACGATCTGAATTTTAATTATGTGTAATTGAATTTCAAGTACTACTATTGCAATAACATGGCGTGTTTAGATTTTGTATATATCAGTTTCACTATTCTTGGTGAGTCTTTGATGAAAGAAATACATTTGCGAGGGTGGGAAAAACTTGTAATTAATCGAATGTTGAAAAGTACTTAAATGTGATATTCATAGTTGATTTAACTGATATGTAATTAGTAAGCGTTAAAACGCATTTCATTGGTATGGAAACTATATCTAGATATATATTGTAGCTAATACCTTTGCAGTTAATTTATATTAACGTTGAAAATCTAGTTTAAGGTGGAAAAATACTTAGTTGAGTATATTAATAAAAAAAAATCAAGTTAAGGTTAAAACAGTTTTTTAAAATGCATAATTCTCTATAATTTACTCTTGTGAGTATGAATTATTGAAACATGATAATTATGTTTGAAAGAAAATTAAAGTATTTTGCTGTAGTGAAATTTTAAAGATCAGATTATAGTAATAATTAAAATTTTAAACATTGTTAATGTTTGTGTATTTACATTTTATTAAATTGTAGAGTTGTGAGTATAATTTATTTTTTTTCATAAAGCATTTGCAGTTTTAGAAAAAATTTTGTTTTTAATAGTTAATAGTAATCAATGCAATACATAACATTTTGCAAATAATATTTTTATGATTTCCCCTGAAGTATTCATATATCACAGAGGAAATATGTTAATATAAGTATTTTTATATTTTAAGTAAAAATTCGTTCCCATTAATAATTCATCCAAATATTTTTTTAGTTCTGTATTATCATTAGTCGGTATTTCAAACTATACTTATTGTTAATTGGCATAAAATTCAACATTCTGGTACAACAAGAAGAAAAATTCATTTCTTGATTATTTGTGTAATTAAGTTAATTTATTATTATAGGACGTAAATAATAATGCAGATTAATACATTATGTAGAATTAAATATACAAGGCAAAGTATTCAGGCCATAGCAGAAACTCAGAAATACTTAATAGCAAATTAAAATTTAATTGCATTAAATAAAACATTTGATCTTATATAACGTAATTCTCTGCATCATCAGCGACTCGGAAGTTACTTTTCTGTGTTATGTGTTCTTTTTTTTTTACTATGTTGCGTGTTTAAAATTTTTAAGCAATGTGTATCTAAATAATTATGATGTAAAGCAATATATATCCAAATTGACTGCTGTTTACTTCTGAAAGAATACAAATTATGCAGATTGTAATTCTATGCCGAAATTTTACTTCTGATTAATAATTTAATTTGCAATATTACTTTATGTTAATGGCTTATTGAGTAATTACAGTATTATTTTTTCACCAAATATAATGTACATTTTCTGCATGCTATATTAGTATTTCCTTTTGTAAAAATTCTAAAATTCAGTTATTATAACATGGTACCGGGGTAATCGGGGTAAAAAAAAAGAAGCAAAAAATATGAGCATTGCAGCATTAATTTGTAGAGAGAAGATTCTGCACATTTCGAGGCTGAGTGGATAAAGGTGCTGAACACTGGTGATTCTACATGAATTCAAATCCAGGTAAACAGGTTGATTGCATGTCTGTTTCCATAGTTTTCCCCCCATATGCATCATGAACAAAAACCAGCTTCTCTTGAAAATTCCTTCTCGAAGGCATTCTGAAGGAAATTTCGTACTTTCTGTTTTCTGCATCCCCACAGTAAGTTGCCAACTTGCTGATGACCCTTAAGTAAGCAAAAAATCTTTCTTTGACTATACTGTTGACTCATGAATACTGTTCTGTTCATGTTTCTTAAAATATCTAATGTGTTCTTTCTTGTTGGAAACTGAGTTCCACTCTCCCATTATGTTAAAAAAAAAAGTAATTTCGTCTGATCTTTGGAATATGGTAACTGGTAGTTTGGCGACATTTTGGAGGCGATAAAGGTTACTACCTAAGACTTTTGTAATAATGTGAGCACTCAGTTTCGATTACGCATTATTTTGTGTGACGGAAATGAGAGATCATGAGATATGTCATGTGACATTAATGGACGAATTACAGTTGTTTAATGGGAAAAGGGGGGAAATCTGGAAATTTCGTATTTAGCTATATTCTGTGTTGTGTGAAACGTGACATTAATGGACGAATTACAGTTCTTTAATCGGAAAAGGGGGTTAATTTGGAAAAGCTTCATTGTGTGTTGTGTGAAATAGTGTTGATTAATTTTCGGATTGCATGGCGCTATGTAAAGTGAATTCTAAATTTTTAATGCGTTTATCTGATAATAATAATAAGTTGAGATTGTGTGAAAGGAAGGATATTACAAGTTTAAATGGCGGTGCAAGAAATATGGTGAAAATGGACATTTTGTGAAAAGGAGTGTAAGGAAGGATACATGGTTTGCTGAAAGTAGTTTAAGTATATGTGAAATTTTATTAATTTCTTATTACTTGGTGAATAGACTTCCAGTTGACTACTGGATTTAGGATTTAGAAATTAGCAGTAGTACTGCAGCGACGTAATGAAGATTCTGAAGAAGATTAGGTAAGTTAGTATTTTTAATCATTTGAGGATATTATTTTTATGCATTGTTCTAAATGTAAGGAGTAAATAAATTAAAATGGTATTATTTGAAAATTGTTATTAGCAATGATTTAGTTTAAAGTAATTAGGATTGTAATCTAATTTTTATTAATTTAATGTATGTGCTTTATTTATATTTTTAAGTAGTGTTTTTTTAATTTAATTATATTTTAATTTAATGATCGTGATTTTGTGAGTTATATGTTTGTAGTATTTTGGAATATGTTTGAGTAGTATACGTTGAGTATTTTCATGCATTTTCGTGAAATTTTTCTAATTTATGAGAAAAAAGCAGTGTACATGCATATAGTGAAGAGTGTGCGCAATGCCATTTTTGTGCAATTCTGTGATTTTTTTTTAAGTAAAAATAAGTCGACGTGTACATGGTTTAGTGATATTTTAATTAACTGATAGTTATTTTGTGAATTTTATGTTTGTAGTAATTTGGTATACGTTTTAGTTGAAGTAAACGTGCATGGAAATAATTTAAATATTTGACACTAAGTATTTGTAATGTTTGCAGTATGAATTCGTTGGTGACGTTTATAATATAATAGATAATTTAGAGGTAAAAGTTTTTTGGATATTTTATTTATTTTATACGTGGAAATGTTCATATTAGGAAAGGGTATATACTTTTTCGCGATAAGGTAATTTCATATATGTTCTTTTTACCGGGTTTAAAGATTCAGAAAATTGTCATGCATTTTCGTGAAATTTTTCCAATTTATGAGGAAAAAAGCAGTGTACATGGATATAGTGAAGAGTGTGCGCAATGCCATTTTTGTGCAATTCTGGGATGTTTTTTTAAGTAAAAATAAGTCGACGTGTACATGGTTTAGTGATATTTTAATTAAATGATAGTTATTTTGTGAATTTTATGTTTGTAGTAATTTGGTATACGTTTTAGTTGAAGTAAACGTGCATGGAAATAATTTAAATATTTGACACTAAGTATTTGTAATGTTTGCGGTATGAATTCGTTGGTGACGTTTATAATATAATAGATAATTTAGAGGTAAAAGTTTTTTAGATATTTTATTTATTTTATACGTGGAAATGTTCATATTTGGAAAGGGTATATACTTTTTCGCGATCAGGTAATTTCATATATGTTGTTTTTACCGGGTTTAAAGATTCAGAAAATTGTCATGCATTTTCGTGAAATTTTTCTAATTTATGAGAAAAAAGCAGTGTACATGGATATAGTGAAGAGTGTGCGCAATGCCATTTTTGTGCAATTCTGGAATGTTTTTTTAAGTAAAAATAAGTCAATGTGTATATGGTTTATGCGTATGTGTTATTCTGAAAAACGCGCAAGGAGTTTGCTATTGTGCACTTTTTCCCAATTTTGCAGTGAATATTTGTCATGATTAAGCAGTTTTGTTAGATAAAATTTCTAGCATAAGTGTAATTCGGCTAGTATATTGTTGGAAAAAGTGTTCAGTAAATAAAAAGAAAAGAAACATGTCTTTACTTCGTGAAGACAAAATGGCGGCGGGGAAAAAAAAAAAAAAAAATAGAGGGTTGTTGTAGCAGAGTTGGTCGCCAAAAAATCGCCAAGTTGCCATAATCCAAAGATCAACCGTAATTTCTTCTTAAAGTGGCCACCATGCTTATTCACCCAGTCTCTAATGTGCAAATTAAAATAATTTCAAGTCCCTCTTCTAGGAAAAAAAAAAGCACTTGAGTGGAAGTAAATGCTGATCAACAAAATTATGGTTAAATATAAATCTCTGCGTTACTCCATGGATGTAGGAAATAAGAGGAGAGTCCCAAACTGGTTTTTCCCATGCACTGCCTTGAAGCAGTGGTGCACTCCTATTGGAGTGCGAAGCATTC